ATAGTTTGAGAGCAGGTGGTGCTTCTGCTGCCGCAAGAGCTGGTGTTCCAGACAGGTTATTTAAAAGACATGGAAAGTGGAGTTCGGTAACGGCTAAAGATGGCTATATGACCGATAATTTCTGACAGATTTTTTGTTAGTAAAAAAATGGGTCTTTAAAACTTAAGATTCCCATTCTTTGTTTTCGACTCGTGCGCTAACTGCGTCCATATGCACTTTATATGTTGTTTGTGTTGTTTTATTATTAATGTTAAGCAGTGTCGGTTATGGTCTAGGAGAAATATAATTCTATTCGGTTGAGCGAAGTGAATAAGAATGGAATTATTTTCTCCTAGGGGGCGACACTGTATATATTGTGTTAGTTGTGATATTGGTAAGAATTGTGGGTAAGTTACGACAGTTGTTCATTCGACCAGTTAGCGCAGACCAGTTGACACGTAAATTTTTATTTTTCAAATTTTGTTTATGGTTTTGTTGTTTTAATTTGATTAGTACATGTGATTCATTTTGTTTTATAACTACATTGGTTATTGCTGCAGTGGTTATTTTTATTATTATTCAATGTTTTTGTTTTCAAAATAAGTATAGTGTATGTTGTGTTAGAGTGTAGGCGTACAGTGTGCATGGGTGCGTGTTTGGAGGTGCGATTAATGTTTATTAATATATTAATTTAATGATTGATTTATATGAGCTGTTTGGGAGGTAGTTTTGCACTTGTGTAGTGGAGAGATGAGTTCGGAGGAGGTGTTTGGGAGATGGTCTCTGGTGATTTCCTGTGTATGGGAGAAATGAGATCGGAAGTGCTTGGGTTGTGATATTCTGTTATACCCCTATGTAAGGGAAAGATGAGCTCGGGAGAGCTGTTGGGATGTTATATCCTTATGATTCCCTAAAAAGTGAAAGGTGAGCTTGGAAGAGCGGTTTGGATGTGATATCCTGGTGATTCCCTATGTAAAGGAAAGATGAGCTCGAAAGACATGTTTGGGATGTGGTCTCTGGTGATTTCCTATGTATGGGAGAAATGAGATCGGAAGTGCTTGGGTTGTGATATTCTGTCAAATCCCTATGTAAGGGAAAGATGAACTCGGGAGAGCTGTTGGGATGTTATATCCTTATGATTCCCTAAAAAGGGAAAGGTAAAAAACTCGAAAGAGCTGTTTGGGATGTGATATCCCGGTGATTCCCTATGTAAGGGAAAGATGAGCTCGGAAGAGCTGTTTGGAATGTGATATCCCGGTGATTCCCTATGTAAGGGAAAGATGAGCTCGGAAGAGCTGTTGGGATGTGATATCCCGGTGATTCCCTGGGTAAGGGAAAGATGAGCTCGGAAGAGCTGTTTGGGATGTGATATCCCGGTGATTCCCTAGGTAAGGGAAAGATGAGCTTGTAAGAGTTGTTGGGATGTGATATCCCGGTTATTCCTTTTTATATATAAAAGGGAGAGATGATAAAGAGGTTTGGTGAGGAGAGGGTCTCCTCGTGTTTATAATTTATTTAATTATTTATTTATATTGTTTGTAAATGTTTGAAGATGGTTTGAAATAAAATTCGTGCGCTAACTGCGTCCATATGCACTTTATATGTTGTTTGTGTTGTTTTATTATTAATGTTATGCAGTGTCGGTTATGGTCTAGGAGAATGGTATATAATGCAACTCAAAAATATCTGTGTGCAAATTTCTGACATTATATATGATTTTAAATGCAAATGATACTGTCAGTTTATATATACATATTGTAGAAATAAATCAATATTAGTCATAAAATATATAAAGCATTTGTAACAGGCTTAGCCTAGACCGAATTCAATAATAAGTTCTGATGAAAACACGTAGGTCGTTATTTTTGTTCAATGTTTGCATTTCTTTTAATCAACGCACCAAATTTTATAAATTACGTTTTCCAGTTCCTCCTACCTCAGTCCACATTTCTCAGAAGGCCGTCACTTCAACCAGCATTATCTTAGAGTGTGTCACAAGCTACTTGTACCCAGGCGAACATCCCGCCCACGACATACTGTGGTATAGGAATGGGAAACTGTTCCACGTCACCCTTGCCAAAGATCTCAAATGCAACAGCTTAAACTCAAGTCTATGCCAAAGTTTTTCCTCCATGATCAATGTGTCAATGTTTTCAAATAAAAGCTATCAGTGCGGATCGTCAGACTTTCGAAGCGAACTATTTAGTTTTAACCAAAGTGTTAATTCAAGTAAGTTGAGATTCGCTACTTCATGCACTCTAATATTTTTAATATCCAGATGTAAGCAACCTAGTCAATGTTTTCCGACTTGTCATATGCTAGTAGACGAATAAAGATGTTGTTACTGATTACCTTTGTTTACTCGCCAAATTGTTAGTAAAATACATGTCTATCTGCCAAGAATAATATGGCTTTCACTTTCTCGTTCTTTTATTTTTATGCACTTAATTCCACGGACATTCCAGAACCAACCAAATGGATCAGAATCATTCCAGAGAGCCAAGTGAACCCTGAATATGTTTCCATTTGGCCCATATTGCTGTGCGTTGTTGCTCTTTTCCTGGGACTTCTTATCATTATAATCATCGTATACAACCGAAGGAAAAAGGCCTATAGAAGTACAAGCATTTATTTTTCTATTATCTAATTTAAGTCTCCTCTCATCTGTTTATTTAAACCTCATTGTATAATGCACGTAAATCCACGTCTTTTGTGAAGAAAACAAGATATGGACCCGTTTAATAAGTTGTGTATAAAGGTAGAAAGAAAAAATGGAAAAAATAAATTGAGGAAATTAGTGTTACTATTTAGTAATTGATTTGATAAAATCAAGCGGGTTAAATCATTCCGATCATTTATTTTAAACCATATGCACCCATACCTCACTAAAAAAAATGACCGGCGTCCAGCATATACGTGTACATCCAGGTGCGGATCCAGGATTATTTAAAGAGGGTCCGGTTTGGGGAATGGCAGGGCGCAGATTTGAACCCGACCCTAACCCCAAACCTCCTACGGGAGGTTCGGCCCTGGTGAAGGGCCACAAAAATGTTTGGTATTTTGAAGGCGATTGGTGCCATTTGGAACGGCTTCGAACTATGATTCAGCTACTCAAAATTCTAATTTCAAGAGGAGACAGGTGCATTTTTTTTTCAGAAATCGAAGTGATTGTATCAAATTAAAGCACCATCCTTCCTTTAGTCGTACAAAATGATCCTCCTTAAAGCTACGTCTGGTATTAAACAGATCACATGAATACGTATCGTTTGTTTTTTAGCGGTTCACCTGCCAAGGCAAAATATTCCGACAAACAGACGCCTAAGACGTGATGTAAGTATAAGTGTTTTTGAATTATTTGCATAAATGTTTGCATTTTGTTGAAAACACCAGCACACTTTCGACAAAGGTAGGCATTTAAAATTTATTGCGATTCCCAATTGCAAAAAGGGGGTGATAGGGATTGACATTTTGGCCTAGATACCACTTGAACGTGGGGCCACTGTCACGTCCATATAAACGCTTACAAATGAAGTGCTTCCCAAATTCGATATGATTCGATAGATACAGTGTACTATCCTATCAGCCAGGCCGAAATATTACATAGGGTTAAATATAACCATAAATGCGTATTTTATTTAGTTAATAGTCTCTTCTTACCTACGATTATGTATCACCAAAATCATTTAATAAGTTCAAAAGTTACCATTTGGACTAACAAATATAGTTTGATACTTTATTGTCTCTTCAATATAGTCCATTCTTTTATAAAAACTATGACTTGAACCAGGTTAAAGCCTTGGAGTTTCTTTTGACACATTTACAGGTTCGACGTCCTGGAAAGGCTTCAAAGTTGCCTTTTATAAGATTTATATATCGATTTAGAAAGGGCACCACAGACGATTACCACACGTACGAAGTACCTGAGAGGATAGAAGAGGTATACTGTCGGTATTTATATTAACTGAGGTTTTAAGTTTTATGATTACACAACTGTGTAATAATGATGAAATCTATTAATTATCTCTGTTTCACTTATGGTAAAATGCCAGTAATGAACACAATCTGTCTACTACAACTCTTTTCGATATGAAAGTAGATGCTGCAAGTATTTATACATTTTGACGTAAACGCTTGCAACGTAGTATTTAAAAAATATATCAGTATGTGATTGGAATGGCCATAAAGGTTGCAGTATCCTTTAATTATTTTAATTTTCAGAACCAGCGAAACACACATATTGCTTTAAACGAATCAGCTCAAGAACTCAATCTCAACGACATAGAACTATTGCAGAACATAGGACATGGTCATTTTGGCGAGGTCTTCAAAGCCATTTTAAAAACCACCAATGCTGCCGTTGCTGTAAAGCTGTTGAAAGGTACGTTTTTGAGTAAATCTTTAAGTATGAGTTAGGTAATCAAATGTCCAGTCCCTTTATGATATTTCTACCTTATTCCACACCTGGAAATAGCTGTTGTTCATGATGCGCTCATTTATTTCAGAACAGTACACAGAAGTTGACAAAAGAGACTTCTTCAGAGAAATAGATACCATGCAGTTAGTGCCTCAGCACGAAAATGTGGTTGTCATGTTGGGATTCTGTAAATCAGCAGGTAAAGGCCTTTTAACCAGGTAAAAATAAACTGAACAGCTGTCCTTATAGCCTTATTAAAGGCCTTAATAACTTCTTATGATTATCATTTAACTGTATATCGCGATGGTTAAATGAGAAGACTACTAGAGATTCAAAACGAAGCGGATAACGAGGGTGTACATGCAGTTGTTTATAGGTATCCAACTTTTCCAGTCCGTGCGTTCCTTGTGTTAGAGTACCTTGGCAATGGTAACCTTAAGACATATCTCCATAAAAGCCGCAGTCACAACACCTATAGTAATCTGCATGGNAACAGCTGTCCTTATAGCCTTATTAAAGGCCTTAATAACTTCTTATGATTATCATTTAACTGTATATCGCGATGGTTAAATGAGAAGACTACTAGAGGTTCAAAACGAAGCGGATAACGAGGGTGTACATGCAGTTGTTTATAGGTATCCAACTTTTCCAGTCCGTGCGTTCCTTGTGTTAGAGTACCTTGGCAATGGTAACCTTAAGACATATCTCCATAAAAGCCGCAGTCACAACACCTATAGTAATCTGCATGGCGGAAGTAGTAAATTGACGTCACGGAATATATTGTCATATGCTCTAGATTCTGCCAAAGGAATGGCTCACATATCTAGATATAAGGTTGGTCAACTCTATTGCAGTTGCAGAATAGGCAGTGCAATAATGTGTGGAGTAATATAATGTTGATGTAATGATATGTGACGAAGATTAAGTACAATATACTAAGTGAAAGTGTTAGCACAATATAGTTAATGGATAAAGTGTGTAAGAAAACTACTGTAAAATGAGACGAACTCATTTAGTATTTCTTAAAATCTATTCGAGAAAAAAGAGTAATATACAGGTATTATTTCACTCTTTAACAGTTTCCATCTATATATCAACGTATAAATAGCTGCACGCTTTCATTTCTCACTCGCAGTTCCTGCACCGTGACCTGGCCGCCAGGAACATACTGGTCAGTGACAACATGGTGTGTAAGGTGTCCGACTTTGGTCTGGCTCGTGACGTCATTAACAGCAGGGAGTATCTCAGCAGGATGGAGGTAGGGATGCGATGCAAGTGGAATAATTTATATTTTAGAAACCAACACATATTAATATTAATTTGCATCATTGGCACGGTACGTATGTTTGGTAGGTAATGATGCAGCATAAAATGGTGCTGGAATCACACATGCGTTCAAACGACGTTTTACGAAAGCAGCATCAAACTCCAGTCAATCTATAAAAATAACCGCCTCAACTTTGTGTACCAGAACTCTTTTATTGTGCGCACCAATGTTTATCATACAACTTGTGGAATTCGTATGAACTTTAGATGTTAATCTATTAACATTTTGATTGAAAATTTAGAAAAGAAAATCAATATCTTTAAATCATTATTATTATGCACCAGAGCCCTCTCCCTATCCGCTGGATGGCACCAGAATCCATTTCTGCCAGCGTGTATACCACTAAGAGTGATGTGTGGTCGTTTGGTGTTCTTCTCTGGGAGATTGTCACTTTAGGTATGATGCCAACGATATTTGTTACTATTTGTATTGTTTAAAACAATTATAAAACGTTTGTATACGGACGGGTGGATATCTCTGATTATTATTTGTCCATGCTTAATTTGTATATTCAATCATAGTTTAAAGTGCATATTATTTCATCTTTATTGAAAGATTCTTCTTTTTATTTGTTGTAGTAAGCACTACATTTAGTTTTGGGATAAATAACTTAATCAAAGAAAACTTTGCAATTTTTGGAGATAGAATGCCCCCTCCAACTTCCATTGTTGGCAATTTCTTCTGGCCTTAACAAAAAATTATTTTTATTTCCACAAACGCTGACGTATGCAGGAGCTACCCCCTACCCTGGTATTACGTCTGGACGAGAACTAATACGTGAGATCAGGTCAGGATACAGAATGGAGAAACCTCAACACTGTACACAGGAATTGTAAGTGTAGTAAAAGATTATTTGTTATGTAAACTGTAGATAAAATTGAAAATTTACGGAAGTTAATAGTGCGAAATGGTGTTGAAAAAGAAATATAAAAATGTAAAAATGCATGCATGAATATGCACCTATTATCTTGTACCGTAGGTAATATTTAACTGTCATTATTGCTGAACTAGCATGTGCTACAAAATTATTTTGATAATATAATGCATATATAATTCCACCCACGAATATATGAAATATATGCGATTTTTCCTCGTCATTTCTCTTCTGGGGCAGAACATATGTCGGAGCGGATATATGGTATTAGAAAGTTTTTTCTATACCCTATTGTTGAAATTACAAACTGAAAAATAATAATTATGATGGCACTTTGATGCGTAAGGCTGATATTATACTTACATGTTTAGGTACAATATGATGATGTTGTGTTGGGAGGAGGAACCGACAGAACGCCCGACGTTCGACAATCTTGTCACCAGTCTTAGAGGCATGGCTAATGAAGAGATGAAACTTCACGTGGACGTAGACAGAGCTGCTGAGACCGTGTACTGTGATATTGACAGCCAGCTGGTTGGGGAGATAGTTTAATGTCAATATGTTGAAATACGGCATTAGATGCCTGTTAGTTACATTCGACAAAAACATTTAATTATTATTTCCCAGTTGCGATCTGTTAGTTAAATGAGTAGGAAAGGTGTTATAAAAGAGGGTGTGATGCAAAAGATGTTTTGACTAAATTACATTTGCCATGCCTGTATAAATTAAATTTCGTGTGGCGTCCGTCGAAACGGAAGATAGCAGTGTGAATGCAACCGAATGGATTCATGGCCTCCGTAGATTCTATGTTTTTTTTCAAACTAAACATTCAACATATTTTAATCCAAAGCCCTTGGACCGTAGAAATATCGTCGAAGGCATTGCACAGTCCCAATACTGGCATCTAGATGATGTTTGAACCTGCAGCTTTTTGGAGAAACGGTGAATCACGGACACATGTTGTTTTTTCTATAGTCATTGAATTTCATTCCAGGAATTTGCATAATCACGAAGTCCTCTGAATTGTAAACATCAAAATAAGACACTGATAGATTCTGTAGACAAATTGTAGACCCTGGACATTTTAAAAAGGAACTTTTTAAGCAATATTATATTTTAATTTTTGTAAGAATACTTTTTACGAATAATTGTACTTAGTTCATAGTTTTAATTTTCACCTCTTACCCATCTTCAAAATTTTTTCTATTATCATTTTCCTTCTATTCATCTTATGACCATACCGCTGTTGGAGAGAGCTTCCCTAATTTTTTTTTTTTTTTTTTTTTTTTCAATAAAATATATCTACCTTTTATGCAAGCCTTCTGATCGTAATGATACATTGGCATTATTAACAAGAGATATCAAAAATTGCATGAAACGATCGGGAAAAATACTTTTTAGAGCTTTGCGCATTCTATAACTCATAACAATCGTAAACAGAAAGGCGAGAAAAAACGTGTAGTCCAAAGGTTATAGGTACGTAAAGCAACTTTCAGACAGCCAACTTACTTTAGTTTGCAACTTCAAATATTACCGACTCACTTAAAACTCGGTTTTCAATATGCTATTTGCCGTTACAAATTATTATCAAACTATCAACAGCCCCACTCTACCTGTATATGTTTCCCCAGGTCATTCAAACACACTGGGAGCTTAATCCACTTCAGCAACCAATGAAAACGCGTCTTCGTCACTTGTCGCGTGCCCTTTATGAATAGTGAAGTCACGAGGTCACATTCCACACTCTATGACCTTTTTGAACTATCGTCGAACAAATTTTCACCGATATCGGCTGCGGTAGAGAAGCCTGGATTTGAGGCGTTGAGACAAACACACTTGAAGGCACCGTGGTCTACATTTATGACATTCGCCAGTATTCTTCTTAAAAATAATAATAATAATAATAATAATAATAATAATAATAATAATAATAATAATAATATGCGAGTTGGAGTCTAACTGCTAGAAAAGTTGCCTTTGTTAATATGGAGGAAATCAAGTCTGTAGATGTTTGAAAAAAGCGTGATAATTTCATCAGTTTAATTCAATTGAGAATGACAACGACAAAATGTATTTCAAGTCAAGGTATCCATGCAGTATAACACCACAGGTATACCCCACATATGAAAACATGCTTGATCCTTGAGCTGGTATGTTCAACGAAAAATATGGACTAACTATTGTACGCGTAATGCGCAATATGTACCTTACTGAAATTTAAAAAGAATCAAGTGCCTTTAAAAATTGTTGCTCATAACAATATAACACACATTCTTTATTCCCGCCATTGAATATCGTCCGTCAAGGACGTCATTTTATTTGAATTTTTATTTAGCTTCTGAGACGACATTCAACGGTTTTCAAGTCGCACATTTGAATGTTCAATGAAAATGTTGGCAGCTATTCAATGGTTTTGTGCTCATAGTTTTGGGGTTTTAACGTACAATTTGATCTTTTGCAACCCCCATAATAGTTGACAATGTACCTATTCCAGTAAGCTGAGCAGAATTCTTTTTTCTTCAAACAATTATCGATTTTTCTTCCTAAAGCGGGCTATATGCTATTCTGCATTTATTATGTTTTATACTGCTGATAAAGCTGGGGTCACCTCTAAGGTGAATGTTGTTGTCGTTGTTATGGGATAAAAAAGGAATTGGTTTGCTTTCGGAATTAATAAAATACATGGCTACAGATTACTAACTCCCCGCACGAAAACGCAGTAGATGCTCCAGCGCAGTAGACTACTGCAATCATACTGCAAATGTGCCTCAAATCTGCTTCGCATTGGGAGCTAATTAGCATATTTGAAACATGCTGCTATCATGCTGCTAATCTACTGCATTAATGCTCCTCCTCTGTACAACCCTATATAATTTTTGAAGTAGAATTGCAGTAGGGTATACTGCATTTCTACTGCAAATATGCTCCACACCACTACTGCGTTAATGCTTCTTTGCTACTTCGATACTACTGCATTTTCGTGCGGGTCTAGATGGAAAAATCAATATTCCTGTGTTGTGTGGATGGCATACTGTTATTACCCACCACCCGTATGTTATCAAATGTAGGCCACCGTTGATGTTTGTGTCTATGTTATCGAATTTAGGTCAACACTGATGTCTGTGTCCTTATATAAACATACAGAGCAGCAACATGATATCGATATGTTCTTCTTGGAAGGTGACCCAGTTTGATAAAAGCTGCAGCTGTGGATTTTGTGGTATCATTGATCAAACACGTAACATGACGTACTGAGAGTCATACATTGAGATCACCTCAGGTGTTCGCTTGTGATAAAAGGCAACGAGGAGGCGCCATTTTAATCTTCATGATAAATTTTGAATTTTTGTTTTTGTCAACTGTAGACGTCCAATTTTTAAAAAGAATATATATAATCTTCATTTATGTAGGCCCTACATAATGGTCTTGATGTGATAAAGGAGACTGATAAAAATAAACTAATTCATATTTCTAGAAAAAAAATGACTTAATTTTGACGTACACGGCTATTCATAGGCTACCGAAAAAAAAGAAATGGGGGGATGTCTTTCTGCAAATAACTTTAACCTTGCGATGCTTTGCTGTATTTCAATAAGTTGTGATAATATGAGAAACACATACACGTTAACATGGCATATCATTTATTCGACATTAAGCAATTCAGTACAAAAAACAATAAGCATAGAAAATTCGGCCAGGTAGAAAACAACATCAAATTGTTTCTTTAATGTATTTTATAAGTCACAGCTGATTATAATTGAAACAATCGTAAAATCCTGAATATTAATGACACTAAATTAAGGCGAATTAATTATTTTAATGATTCTAAAAAATAACCCTAGGAGGGGGAGGAGGAGGGGCGGGGCGGGCAGAAGACTCACCCACATACCCCTATACCACCCCACTGGCGTAAAATACAAATAATCCACACCGGTTCTACTTGGCACTTTTAAAACGCATACCAATCTATTCTGTTGACAGTCAGCTCCGCACATAATACATATATAACACCAAAGTTAAAAACTTTCGAGCACCTCTGTAGCCTTCGACCGGGAAGTAAATATCACTAAAATTACTCACTCGATAAAGGAGTTCTTGGCAAACAACCAAGCGAATTGCATGTAGGCTTAAAATTTTCAGCAACGACCTAATAGCAAATAATTTTCTCGACTCTACATGAACAGCTGGTTCATAACAATAGTATCAGAAGGGAGAATGGCGCGGGGAGGGGGGAAGGCCTGTAAACGCAACCACGCCTGTGTCACAAGGGGGTCGTGTGGAATGTGGGGGCAATGAAATGAGACGGCAAATTTAGAACGCACTGCCCTGTCCATTCTCCCTTTTCTTTAATAAAATGGCAATTCCCTACTGAGAAGTCTTGACTTTTGTGACCCTGCATAATTTGCCCATATTACGATAGAAGTCATATTAACAATTTATTTACTCATACACTATAACCAGCTTCACTATGCATCCCTATATAAGCTTTCTATAGTACAATTTCTATTAATACGCAGAGCAACAATAGAAAAATCAACTCATTCTTCTTTTATTGGAATGTAATGTACTTTATCATTTCGATAAAATTTACATATCAAAAATAGAAATATTGTTATATATTATCACATGATCAATAAACACCAAAAGTAATAACATGAAAACCTGACAAAACGCCCACATTAATCATGAACATGAAAGCGAAAATTGAGTCACCTACTTCATTTTATCTATCCATCAAGAATTAGTCATACTCGTTTAATGGAAAGGGAAAGGAGAAGCACCAAATTACAGTGATAACATAGCACAATGTATTAAATGAAAATAAGTTTACGTATCACATGCACTGGGTCTAAGTACCTAATTTCCCCTCCGTATTAGGAATTCTGACAAATAAGCTGCAGTGGCGGATTTAGAGGGGGGTCAGGGGGTCCTGACCTCCCGTCCCCCTTCCATTTCTGGTCCCCTCTTAAAATTAGAATTTTGACTTGCTGAATCATAGTTCTAAACCGTACCAAATGGCACCCTTCGCCCTCCAAAATACCAACATTTGGGGCCCTTCAACGGGACAAGTGGGGGGGGGGGGTAGGCTTCGCATCCGCGGAGCCCCCCTTTCAAATAATCCTGGATCCGCCGCTGAGATGTATCATCTGCTTTATGTATTACATGATATTATACACCCCGTGTTTCCAAATACTGATTGTGACTCTCACCAACTCTCTATACTAGTCTGTAGTCTAATATACGGCACTTTTCAGGGTGCACACAGAATGATATAGACAACAATTACAAATGACCTGAAATTTAATTACTATCACTGCTATGATTATGCTGGGTCTCCAACCAGTTGAGTAGAGTCATAACATTAAGCTTATTAGAAACAGTTGATTTAGTAGAATGGTTTTCCTGGTTCTTTGTGGAGGATAATATTGTAAATATACTCCTTCCATTGGCAAATCTATGCACATAGTGCTTTAAGTGTCTAGAAAAAATGTCAGCGTTCTTATCAACACGTGGGCAGATCCCACGACACACTCATAAAATAAATGGAGCTATGCCTTAAAGACCGTAGGAATATATATATAGAAAGGCATAGCTCCATTTATTTTATGAGTGTGTCATGGGATCTGCCCACGTGTTGATAAGAACGCTAACATTTTTTCTAGACACTTAAAGCACTATGTGCATAGATTTGCCAATGAATATATATATATATATATATATATATATATATATATATATATATATATATATATATATATCGCTCTAAATCATTCCAGGTTTATATATTATATTATATACATTCAGATGAACCTGAAGGTAAAATCAACTGTTATCCACAGATACGATATCAGAGGGTTGTTACCTGATGAAACTTGATGTTTGGAATGCTTGCGAGATATTTTGAGATGACTAACGACGAGTTTATGATATTGTTTAGTACTCAAACAGAACCACATAAGCAAATATTTCTATTGCATCAATAAAGGGGTAAAACGCATAAGAATGTTGACGCTGTAAAGCTATATTCCCATTTAACTTAGTCATATCTGAGTAAAATTGTCTATAACGCCGTTTTATGTTGCGAAGAGATCTAAATTTGCTTGTTGAACACTCATAACCAGCGCTCGAAATTCTGAAAAACCGCCCTTTCCCATTCCCCCTTCTCGAACAAATT